TTCTCCATAGATTTTTAATTAAAATGTTACAAGTAATAGAATTCTATGATTCTAGAAATCAGGAATGGATATTCATATTAGGTCATCTAGTCCATCTCTCTGACAGTACAGGATTTCTCCACACAATATATTGTCACATGTTATGTCCACTGAAGTTTGTAATTACACTAGCAATGGGGCTTCCAATACTTCCTCTGGGAGACTGTACACCTCATTGTAATGGTAAACTCCCCTTTAGAGTATGAACTCTTCAAGCAGACATTTTGTTCTTTGTTTTTTAGCACATAATCTGTGGTAAGGCACCATGTACACTTACAATGCCAAATAAATACATTAGTAATAAGTACATTAATAAATAATAAGTTAAACATTTTGCAATACATTTGTTTGAAGATGCTGTACAAAAATAAATGATAGCTGCATGTTTAAACAAGAACAACATACCTCCTTAAATATTATTAATGGAAATGTTAAAAACAAATAACATTTAAATGTTTTCATGTTGAAAGTTGGAGGACATTTCCCTTTTAATAAGATTAAATTAGAATTAAAGAATTATGTTCAATACTGTTTTTTTATAACTATTTACATGTTGAGCCTGCTATAAATACATTTCTTGGATTACTCAGGCACTGGAGTTTTATCCAATTTATTTATTACATTTCACCTTATCTTATGCTGTTATGAAACATTTCCTTACTTTTCCTTCCTTTACTTTTCTTTCTGTATGTCTTCTCTCTTTCACGTCATCCCTTATGTTTGCTTGCTCTAAAAAATATATAAATATATATATATAAAATTACTGAAGACATTTTTCTTTATTACACTAAAAAACCCCAGTGTAGTACATGACACATTACACTGGTAGTATGTGGCACATACATCATATTTCAGTGACAGGGACCCTGAATCCAGAAATGTTAATGCAAGTAGACAGAGTTGCCACCCTTCTCTCAATGGAATATATACACACACTGTATAAAATTCAAACCTATCACCTTTTTTGGGGGGGGGGTGTATTTATTGGTAACAAATAATAAAACAGTATAATTAATAGGTAATAAAACTGCCAGAAGCTGGGAATGAGTGACAGGGGATGGATCAACTGATGATTACCTGTTCTATTCATTCCCTCTGGGGCACCTGGCATTGTCCACTGTCGGAAGACAGGATACTGGGCTAGATTGACCCTTGGTCTGACCCAGTAGGGCCATTCTTATGTTCTTATGTTAACAGTATAAACTTAAGCCTAAATTTCCCCCCCAAGATTGGTTGTACAGTAACTCCCCACGTAACATCCTCTCGCTTAACGTTGTTTCGATGTTACATCCCTGCTCCATTACAGAACATGCTCGTTTAAAGTTGTGCAATGCTCCGCTATAACGTCATTTGGCCACCTGCTTTGTCCAAGGCTGGCAGCTCCCCTACGCCCCCCAAAGCCTCCCGACCGCTGGCAGACCCTGCGGATCAGCACCTTGCCCGTTTTCCCCCCATGGCAATCAGCTGTCTTGCGGTGTTCAGGAGGCTGGGGGGAGGAGCAAGGACACGGCGCGCAGCCTCCCCCCTCCTCCCCTGCCTCCTGCCTGCGGCAATGAGCTGGTTTGCGGTGGGCAGGAGGCAGGGGGAGGGAGGGAGGAGGCTGCACGCCGCTTCCTCGCTCCTTCCCCCAGCCTCCTGAATGCCGCAAACCAGCTGATTGCCGCGGGCAGGAGGCAGGGGAGGGAGGTGTGACAAGTAGCCTTATTAAAGCATTTGGCCAGCTTCTTGAGAAAGGAATGTGCAAATTAAGTGCCCAATCAAGAAACACTTAACTGACAATGGATCTTGGAATACTCCAATCCACATAAGAAGTTTTCCTGGAGACATTCAAGATAGCATGTGGGCAATGGCTGCTGCCTGTAAAAACTGAGTCATGCATGGACATGTGACTTCAAAACTCCATCTTGGAGCTGGATTTTGCATAGGAGAGAGGAGGGGGTCTCCACTCACAAGAGAAAGTCTATTTAAGCCCCTGGGAGATCCCTCCATTTTAGTCTTCAGCTGGCTCAAGAGATAGCCTCCCCCAAAGGATACCTGAAAGAAACTGGGACAAAGAACAGTAACCACGGGGGTGTGACTGATTGCTAATCACTTTCTTACTGTATTAGGTTTAGACTTGCGTGTTTTATTTTATTTTGCTTGGTAATTCACTTTGTTCTGTCTATTATTACTTGGAACCACTTAAATCCTACTTTTTGTATTTAATAAAATCACTTTTTACTCATTAACCCAGAGTATGCATTAATATTGCAAACAGCTGTGTATACCTCTTTATCAGTGTTATAGAGGGCGAACAATTTATGAGTTTACCCTGTATACGCTTTATACAGAGTAAAATGGATTTATTTAGGGTTTGGACCCCATTGGGGGCTGGGCATCTGAGTGTTGGAGACAGGAACACTTCTTAAGCTGTTTTCAGTTATGCCTGCAGCTTTTAGGGGACATGGTTCAGACTGGGTCTGGGTTTGTAACAGGCAAGCGTGTCTGACTCAAACCAGGCAGGGCACTGAAGTCCTAAGCTGGCAGGGAAAACAGACTCAGAGGTAGTCAAAGCACATCAGGTGGCAGTCCCAAAGGGGGTTTCTGTGATCCAACCTGTCACAAGAGGAGAGAGACTGTGCGCCGCGTCCTCGCTCCTCCCCCCAGCCTCCTGAATGCTACAAGACAGCTGATTGCCGTGGAGCAGAGGGAGGTGGAGGGAGCAGAGGGAAGGCGCAGATCCGCGGGGTCTGCTGGCGAGCGGGAGGCGCTGGGGTTGGGTGGGTGGTGTAGGAGAGCTGATAGGGGGGCTGCCAGCCCATTTAATACCTGTATTAAATTGCTTGTTTAAAATTGTTTAAAATGTATATAATGCCTTTTGTCTGGAATTTTTTTTTTCCTGGCGACG